TGTGAACGCACCATCAAACTCTGTCCCGGAACAAAAAGGAGAACTCTGGCCCAGGCTAAAACCTAGGTCTCGGTCCGGTAGAAGAGAACTCCAGCGCAGTTTGAGTACAGTGTGAATGTAAACAGACCGAGCCGCTCCACAGGACAAACAAACACACATTTCTCTTATATGGAGCCGTCAGCTGCCTTGTGTGAAGAACAATATTCTCCATGGTCTTCTGTCTCATCTTCTGCTCATGCTGAGTCAATTTTTGAAAAATGACAAAATATAACTCCTAAAACTGCTAAAACTTGATGCCACTTCGTTTTTATTTTTATTTACAGAAGAAGAAGAAGACGTGTCTTCAGAGGTTTTTGTGTCGCTTCTTTCAGTAGTTCTTGGTGCAGCGGCCCCACAGGTGAGCGGGGGAACAGGTTGGTTCAACAGGTTGGTTCAACGGGTTGGTTCAACAGGTTGACTCGACTGCACAGTGCAGTGTGAATGCAAACGCACCAGCTCAAATGTAACAAAAGGTCATGAATATTGGTCCCGAACCGAACCAAGTCTACTGGACTATCTGGTGTGAAAACGACCTTGGAGACTATGCAAAGGTCTAAGCCATCCCATCTGGTATCTGTGTGGGATTTCCAGCCTTTTTTTCCACAGCTCTTCTCCACCAGAGGGCGCCAACAGAAACACACCTGAGATCCACTGAGGACTAATGAACACTAGAAGTATAAATACCAGCTGAGGACTTCATTCTCTGCTGCTGCTTTGTCTGCCTTTGGTAGTAAGCTCCTGGCCTGAACATTTGCTCTTTGTGCTTTAAAATTATTCATCTTTGTGCTCATGCTACAGCTCTGACTTCTGTGTTCTACCTGCGTCCTGGATCTCATGGTAATTACTCTCAACCCTTCCTGGACTTATCTCAAGCTGCTCCTTGCCTTCCACCACCTGCTCACTTACAATGGATCTCCTGGAAACCTTTTGGACATTCACTGACTGACCTCCCTTTTTTACAGTAAGAACTACTCCTCTGGACATTATACTGCCCTCGAGATTTATCCTTGGCCGCTTTAACTTTGCTCCTTGCGCTCCAGGGTTCCAGCCTCTCCCTGGAAAGTCCCCTCACCAATATCATTGTTTCACTTTTGTAAATAAACATTGTTCAACTTTCCCTGGTCTTGAAGTCTGTTTGCATTTGGTCAGTATTTATCTGGGTGTTGCTAGAAACCTTACAGTCTGTATGCTTTTTAAAGGCCATCAGAGGATCGACTCTCACATCCTTACCTGTCCATTCCCAGCAGATATAACTGTAGGGACAATGTTATGTGTTATCTGGTCTTACTGTAAGTAAGAAACTTATACAAGCTGTGTTTCAGAAGAACATCACCACATGACTGGCTGTTGTGATGCGGTGGAACAGGTTTGTTCTAGGGACATCATGTGAAAGGGTCTGGCTTCTACTGACTGCAAACAAGATTAAAGAAATCTCAAAAAAAATTATCCATAAATCTGTCCTGCTACATCTTATATTAAAACTAGATTCAAGAAAGAAATGTATGTGTTTTTTGTGATAGATGTCCTGAAACTGTTTTCCACCTGTTTTGGAACTGTTCATTTGATTTATTTTGGCAGAAACTGTGACTTTATTCACAAAAACATTGAAGCAAGTTTTGAGCTTCTGTGGAAACATGTTGTTGCTTGGTCTTTTTGAAAAACATACATAAAAGCACTTCTCACTACCTTTTTATAAACCTTCCATTACACATCCCCACAATATGTTTTGCAGTGAATGTAGAACCATAAGCCCCACTAGCTTTCTCCAGCATTCTTTCCGGTGTTCATTTTCCTGTGTTTGCTTATTTTGTTTCTGTTTAGATTGATAACTTGATATATACAGAAAAATTTTCCATCCATCCATTACCTTCTGCTTATTTCGAAGTCGGATCGCTGGGTCAGCAACCTGAGCAGGGAGGTCCAGACGTCTCTCTCCACAGCCTCTTCCAGCTCTTCTGGGAGACTTCCAAGGCGTTCCCAGGCCCACCGAGAGACAATAGTCTCTCCAGCGTGTCCTGGGTCTTCTCCGGGGTCTCCTCCCAGTTGGACATGCCCGAAGCACCTCCCTAGGGAGGCACCCAGGGGGCATCCTTACCAGATGCCCGAACTACCTCAACTGGCTCCTCTCGACGTGAAGGAGCAGCGGTTCTACTCTGTCTCTCCCAGATAACTGGACTTCTAACCCTGTCTCTAAGGGAGAGTCCAGCTACGCTGCAGAGAAAACTCATTTCAACTGCCTGTATCCGTGATCTCATTCTTTCAGTCACTACCCAGAGCTCATGACCATAGGTGAGGGTAGGAACGTAGACCGACCGGTAAACAGAGAGCTTTGCCTTACAGCTCAGCTCTCTCTTCACAACGGACCGGCACAGAGTCCACAATACTGCAGATGCTGCACCAGTCCATCTGTCAATCTCATGCTCCATTCTTCCCTCACTCGTGAACAAAACCCGGAGATACTTGAGCTCCTCCACTTGAGTCAGAACCTCACCCTCGACCTGAAGTGAACTATCCACCCTTTTCTGGTTGAGGACCATGGCCTCAGATTTGGAGGTGCTGATTCTCATCTCAGCTGCTTCACACTTGGCTGCGAACCGCTCCAGTGAGAGCTGAAGATCATGGCACGATGACGCCAACAGGACCACATCATCTGCAAAGAGCAGAGATGAATCCTGAGGCCACCGAACCGGGAAACCCTCCACCAGCTGGCTATGTGGAGTTTTATCAAACTTGTTCAATAAAATTTAGAAGACTGAGAACTTTTGTTAAAAACACGTAGCAAAGTTTATTTCTCTTCTGCAGAAGGAGAACACATGAAACGAAAACGCAGCTCAGTGAGTTGTGTGTGTTCTCTAAAAACACGAGAAGCACGGCTTCATTTATACACCTTCACACGTAACAGGCTTTGACACAACAGGCGCTCATTTGCAATCTTATCAGGGTAAAAACAGACGGTACGTTGTGGTCCGTGTCAATCTTATCAGGGTAAAAACAGACGGTACGTTTGTGGTCCGTGTGACCGGTTCTGGAGCTGGGGTTTCGTACCGGCAGTCTGTGAGAAACGGAAGTTAAAAAGCTTCACACACTGACGTTGAAGAGATGCAACTGCTACAGTTTAGATAAGCTTTAACAGAGTGTGATATAAGGTAAATGAATAATAAGAGTGATGATAATAACATTGAAATGAAATAAAATAAAATTGAACAAAATAAACTGGTATTAATCTTTTCATTTCCACAATTCCACAGCTACACCGAGAAATTCTGTCCAAAAGTTATCAACCCCACCAGCACGTCTTCCAGCAAAATTTTCTTCTCATTTAATGCGGACCTGTAAATGTGCAAATAAAGGTTGAAAAAAAAATTATACCATAATATATAATTAGCTTGTAAGCATTAGCAGTTAGCTTATACTGCACTAGTCGTTAACTTGTATAGGATAACTGAAAGGATTTGGCAAATTAATTAGTACAAGAAATACAGTGCAAGATAGATTTTATATAGTCTTTAGCAAAAAAAAAAAAACTTTTAGGGGGAGTGGTGGTACAGAGGCTAGAGAAGATGGGCCCGTGATCGGAAAGTCGCAGATTCAACTCCCGGTCTTGTCAACGTCAAAATGTGGGCAGGAAAAGGTGAAACACCCACACCTGTCTCCACCCTCATTTGACCCACTTTGGGCCCCTGAGCAAGGCACTCAACCCCACCATTTGCTCCCAAAAACAGGTCTCTCTTGAAAATGAGTTCTTGTAGAGACTACCTGTATAAATAAAAGTTAAATGGGGGAAAAAAAAAACTAATAGGAAAGTGGTCAATTTTAAAATGTATTGTAAATGTATTCAAATTCAAATTCAAAAATACTTTATTAATCCCAGAGGGAAATTATTTGTTGTTGTAACTCGTTATCCTCATTTCATTAAAGATGTTATAGATACTGATGGCTGTAGACAGGAAGGATCTCTGGTAAAGGTCCATCCCACAGTGGATGTAGGACCGTCCAAACGCTGGGCAGACCTCCTCCCAGAGCGATGGCCACTCCTCCCAGCAGTCTGCCGAGCTCCTCGTTACTGCAGACAGCCAACTGTAGGTGCCGAGGGACGATCCTGTCCTTCCGCTGTCATGAGCCGTGTTTCCTGCTAGTTCCAGGATTTCAGTGGTCAGACACTCGAGCACAGCTGGCAGGTAGATGAGAATGCATCCACAGAACATCCTTTCAACTCATTTGAGATTTGGGGCTGTAGTTGAGATATTATTGGAGCTTTTGAGATGTTAATCAGCTGCTGGTTGTAGAAAACTGCCTTGTTGCCATGGTTACGCATCATAACAAACGTCCAAAACTAAAAAAGTTTCAGTACAAATCGTTCCAGCTGCACAGCATCTGATACCAGAGGAAACAATCATCCAAAAAATGTGATTTACATCCAGAAAAAGAGGAATTAATGTTTCCAAAAGCAAATTCTCAAAATGAAAGTGACAGAGCTGCTCCAACATGCAGCCACCTGGAGCGGCGCAGTTCTAGAACTAGAACAATTGTAGAATTATATATATATATATATATATAGATGTGTGTGTGGTGTGTATGTTGTTATAATAGTCTAGTTACTACATATCATATACAACACTCTTCTTCAAACACTAGACGGAGACAAATCTGTTTGCGACCCTTATTTTGAAAATAACAGAATTAAATTACTTTTTTTTTTAAATATTTTTTATTATATTTTTATAGGCAAAGAAGTGACATGCTGTAATGTTCATCCACACAAAACCTGGGCATTTATGCTAAATTTTCTAAACATTTTACATCAGTTCTCGAAGCAGCACTTTTATTCTTGAAGATCGTAACCGGAAGTGTTGTAGCACTACCGGAAGAAACATCCGTTGATAACGGCTTGCTGCTGTTATGCTAATATTTTAACATTACTTTTATATGTTGCCCCAAACTTAGTGTATTTCTCCGGTTTAGTGGGCAGACAGCACCGTTAACTGGTTACCGGTTCTCCCAGTGTGTGTTCAGGTGCTGTTGTGAACGTTATGAATCTATTTTTAGAGCTCAGGCTGCATTAGCTTTAGCTCCTGCCCAAGTCCGACAGGCAGCCATGGAGGCTCGGGGGATCCAGGACATGTTTGACTCTCGTCGGTAAGTCAGCAGAGGCTGCTTCATGTTGGCTCCGGGTTAATGTTAGCCTGGCTTCAGGGTCGGTGTTACAGCCAAGGAGTGACGCTAACCTGTGAATCTAACTAACGCTGTGGTTTATGTAGTTTATGTTAAATTTAGCCAAGCAGCGTTAATGAAAGGGTCACCAATGACCGTTTTAAAACTTTACGCAGCGCTAATTTTACACTGGCGCTTCCGTTTTGTCACGTTGATTGCGTAATACTTTGACAAGATTACGTACTGCTGAAAAAGTACTTGTACTCTTGTGAGGAAACACGCGAGTTTTCCTCTTTATCGAGGGACAACTCCCCATGTGACTTGTTTATTTAGTTTAAATAGAAAACGTTCCCGCCGTTCTGAGTGTGTGCACGCCAGACGTGACACGTGTGGACTGGGTGGAAGTGGAAGCTGACGGAATGTTTCACCTGTTTTGGTTCATCTGGAATCACTGACTCTGTCTGCTCTTTGGTGCAAAGTGTACAACTTTACCACAGGCCGCTCTAAAGCCACACAACGGGAGGTGTGTGCGACAACAGAGCAACTTTTATATAAAAATATAATGCCATGGACATGTCGGTGGATACTATACAGCCCAGGCTGCAATAAATCACTACACATCTTTCATGCATGTGGCACTGAGGTGCACAACCTAAACTCCCACAGTTTGATGAGGATAGAAAAGCTGAAGCTCATGGAGGTTACTGCAGAGGAACATGTGGATTTATTGCCATTTTTAACAGTTTGCAGGTTTTCACGTTGTGCAGCTCTGCTTCAAACCTAATTTGTGTTGTATTGAGGCTTCAGATGATTTCAAAGCCATTTGTAAGTGATGTTTCATCTTTACTAGGCACAAAGTGTCAGACCGTGCAGCCCGTCCTTAATATACATCTTTTCGTTATTGCCTGCCGCTGAAAGATATTGTTTTAGTCTGTGTGTGTCTGTTCGCAGAATATCTCATGACCCACAAGATTAATTGTAATGAAACTCAGAAGTGTTCACTGGATGTAGACCTGACTAATCTTTGGAGTCCTCCCAATTAAAGATGTCCCCTGCAAACAATTAAACATTACTGTAACTGTCACCTTACAGATATTGACCTAAAATTTGATATGATAGTAGCTCAGACGGTTCCCCATTCACATAACCTTTGTTTAAAATGTGGCCATGAACTAGAGTGTCAACACTGTCTGTTAGCAAAATATTTCACAAATCGCTCGACAGATTTTAATGACATTCTCAGGAAATAATTTTTGGATGTACCTCAACAACAGACTGACTTTTGGAGTCAGTTCAATTAAAGATATCCGCTAGGCCTGTCGCAATAAACAATAAATCAATCAGTCGCACGATAAATGACAGTTATCGAGCTCGTTTTCATTTATCATCTTCATCGCTTCGTCGTGTCTCTCTTTCTACTGAAGACACTGGGTGAGAAAAGGCTCAACTCGGGTTCTTCACTGACCCTCCCCTCTCTTTAAAATCTGTTGTAACCGTCCAAAGTTGCTGTAGGTTTCCACTGATGGAAGCCACTAGCTTGATGCTCTCAGGTGCCCTCTCTTCCTCAACACCATGCATACATCTTCCACAGAGTCCTTAGTGAAGTCAAACACTTTACTTCTCTTTGCAAAAATCAGAAACTTGTACAAAATAAGAGGAACTAGAGAGACATGGAGGGAGAGGTCAAAAAACTGTGGCTCCACCTGACTGACAGTAAACCACACCCACCCCAATACAGGTAATCTCCAAAACACCTGCTTTTACACTGCTACTGGAAAATAATACAACTCTAAATCTCTAATAAATCTTACGTTTTAATCATTTTATCTTTACAAAACTAAACTAAATATCACACTTTTATCCTTATCATGTTCAATGAATCTCAGTGTATCACCTATGAACTCAGAACTATGTAGTTACATTTGTTAACCATTATAAACTGTATTTAGGCTCCAACAGTCGTGTTTTTGCGTCGTTAAAAGCAGCTAAGCTGAGAAGCTAAGCTACGAGCTAAGCTAACGGGCCGACCTCGAGGAAAAAACCTCCGTCTTGTCGAAGCTCCAAAATTCACGTAAACCCGTGCCTTCGTCTAAAAAGTTGTTTTTCTCTGCAAAAAGAAGCTGAGAACTTGTTTACTGATTATTTATTAAAAGCTTTGTGTGAAAAATGCTAACGAGCTCAAACCAAGACAGCCCATGTCACGTCAAGGGGCCTCCCTCCCATTTTTCTTAAAGAGACACGCTGCTCACTCCCTCACTATCCATCCTTCGGTTCAGTCTTATTCTGTCATCCTGTGGTCAAAAAGGTACTACACACAAAAATTAACCAACATTTCTTTGTAAATTTAACAATTGGTAATTATTGTCAGATTTCAAACATTATCATTAATCCCAATAATTTCTGAGACGATTGATCGCCCAGCAACACGAGTTATTGTGACAGGCCTAATGTTCTCCACAGCTGATGGCAACACAAAAGTATCTATAAGTCAGTTATCAGGATATTGATGTAAAATGTGATGTTGCCGTAGTTACGTGTCATTGAGCATTCACACTGAGTGTAATATCTTGTGATATTTACATGAGATTACAAAAATGGCTGTAACTCTGATTTTTTAACGTAAGATGATCAGTTTAAAACTGTCACAGTTGGCAGGTGATGTGCTTTCCTTTGTGAACATCTTTAATCTTTTGTCACATTTCAGATGAAATTCTTTTGTGTGCCCTTGTCCCAGGTTTCCCAAAGATCCCGTGGTTCTCCTGCTGCTCATGATTTATTTTCCAGTTGGCATTTGTTTGATGTTCATCCGTATTTTTATCGGTGTCCATGTTTTCCTGGTTAGTTGTGCACTTCCAGAGAGCTTTGTTCGAAGGTAAGAAGCCAATAACTAGTTGTCTTCTCTGCATTGATCACATCGCAGATGAGGCACAGTTTGAGCAGCAGTATGTGACCCACTCGGATGTAGAGATAAAAAAGTCCCTTCATTTCTCACACAGAGACAAACCTGCTTCATAATGTCGTAGAAAATAACCATTTTAGTTTTGCTCTGTGTAAAAGTTCTCGTAGTGGCAAACTGCTGGTCAGTATTGTAATAAGCCACATTCTCACATTAGTTCCATGTTAAATATTTAACATTTATTCAGCATGGTGAGTTTTGACGTATAATTAATGCAGGTGTGTGAAAGAGGATTTTATGAAAACACCACTGAGTTGAGTTCACTGTAAACTGTTACTGAGAAGAATCAACTGAACAGTGACTTCAGACATTCAGATTTGTTTTCTCCTTTTATCTTGATCATTCTAATTTAACTATGTTTGTCTTTAGATTCATTGTAAGGATAATGTGCTCTGTCCTGGGGATGCATGTGAGACAGAAAAATCCTCGCTCCAGAGATAAGAACATCAAGTTGTTCATATGCAATCACATAACAGAGTTTGATCATAACATCATCAACCTCCTGACTGCCTGCAGTACTGTGAGTACCTCTTTTTGCATCTTATCTAGCAGGTTTAAAACATTTCTTTCTTTTGTTCATTCCACCTTTATGTATTCAGCTTCATCCCATTGAGCCACGGGGACTCATTCACAGGACAGACCTGATTTAACAAAGAGTGACGACAACAGTGAAAAACAACGACGGCAACAGACAGTCGTAAAATAGGCATATGTATACAATTTATATATATATAATTAATATTTAGTGAGTATTCCTTGGTAGGATCACAACTTGTCTTTTACTTCACGTCTGTGTCGAATGGCCATAATTACTACTGTGCAGAAGATTTAAAGCCTTATTTATTTGATTTAGCTTAATATTTATTCATAACTTTTTAAAAGTGCTCTAAAAACAGTTAATCTGAATTCTGTGGGTCTTACATTTTTTTATCGGCTCTTTTGTTATGGTAACCACCTTTACAAACCAGTGCTCTTAGCAGAAGCAGAAACATGCTACATTGTGCAGTGTGTGCTTAAGTACTTTTATGGTTCATCTGAAGCAGAATAAAAGAATGGCAGATCCTAACTCATTCTTTTTTGTTCACTAATTACTGTAGGCCAAGGTTTTGGTTAATAGCTTCCAAGGTATCATTTTGTTGGTTCAAAAACACCATTTTATGTCTGATAAAGTGTTACTGCAACCTGCTGGTCCAATAAATGTCACATCACTCAGTCAAGTCAAATAGACTTTATTAGTGGATGAATGTGGCACTCTTAATTCCCAGTGCTTACAACCAGTGCTATTCATATGTTCCACAAGCCTACAAGTCAAAAGAGGAGCTGATAAAACGAAGTGAAAAAGGCCACAAACGTCAGGTTCCCACACCAGTACACACATGACAATGGGTCAGGCTTCCTGGATGTAAAGGCTTGTGGCTGTAAGCTACATCTGGTGGGTGGCTAAGTAAGGACAACCAAAACAAAAATGAAGTAGTTAGTCTGCCCTTATAACACACACTCCCAGATCTTCTGGTCTACAGGCCATGCAAGGCCCGGGCGGACCACCAAAAACAATTCATTGAACTCAACTCAAAAGGACAGCAGGAAACAGTACATCTGAAACTATAAAGACATCAGAATCCAATTAATAACTTGACAGTTCCATATACAATGCATTTAAATAATTAATTAAAATACATTATATAAAAACAAAGTCTATAGCGGACATGTCGTCACACCCACGTGATGTAGAAAACACCTTAAAATCTTGTATGGCCACACTGCAACATTCATACAAACAACACATTAGGAGAGAGAGTGACGGGTCCGGCAACACGATGTGTCAAGCTCATGGAACAAACCCTGTGTCGGTGCACGTATCGCTATTAGGACGTCACGTGACCGATACAGGAGCTGTTTCAAACTGACGCACCAAACTGTGTTTATAAGTATCTGTTGTAGATGAACAGATGCTGAGATATATTCATCAATTAAAACGGATTCTTCATTTTTCTGGACTGAATATAAACGTGCGTTGAATTTAATGAAATGTAACGTGAGACGTTATTTATCTTTGACCCATCAAAATGAATGTGGCCATTTATTTACAGAATCAAAGTTTAACATCAACATTTACATTAATTTGGCAAAATATGAAAATAACAACATAATTAATCAGCGAGCTGTACAATTATGATCAATTATCCACACGGCGGTGGATGAGCACTTTACACAGACATTTCTAAATTATCTGGAATGGTTTCTACTTGATAGAAGAATTTAAAGATGGAAAATGAAGTTTAAAGGGAGTGAAAGATGGATGAGGGAGAATGTGGTGTGTATGAGTGAAAAGTGTTGACAGGACGACACCCTCCATCCGACCCAGCTTTTCCTAGGTACGCTCAGTAGTGGTCTAGACTCATTTACCTCTCTGATGATGAATCAGAAGAAGAGGAGCTCCAGTTAACGCTACCTTTCAGCGTCTCCATAGGATGGCTGTGACTCGTCCGAAGTAGTGACGATATCCCGTCTGACACAAGTTCACCTCAGCCAGTGGACCTCACATGAGTGGGGTTCGTCCGAGTTCCACTCAGAGGTGAAGATGTTATAATCCCATAAAACTCGGAAGAGCTCTATCATGTCAGGGTTTTCCTGTTTCCCAGCCAGACTCCAACAGAACTTCACAGAACTCACAGAACTGAGAACTGGGCACATCACAGAACTGCCACTTCACCGAACATCTCCGAACTGCTACCACACAGAACTGCGATCATCTCAGCACTCGGAGAACTAGGAAGTACCGACATTTTAAAGGCTCTATTTCCGGTATATTTGAGAGTTCCTGATTGGTCAATATCAACCAGACAGGGGTGTGTTTTGTGATGTAAGAGGTTACTAGAAGTCAGAAAACAGCAAGAATGTTATTGGAACAAATTGAAAATGTTCCCAGACAGGCGAGTTTGGAGAAACAGGTGCCAACTTCTCTGTTGACGTCTGAGAGGATGTAAAACAAGACAGTTGTTCCAACACATGTCTGCTTCGACTCCTGACCTTGGAAAACGTACACTGCTCATTCAAAGACAGAAATCAGAAAATGCATAATTACTCTGTAACAGGCCTTAACATGAATTCTACTTTGCATAAGCAACTAAAAATCATTGTTACTGTTTGATATGAAAATATGTTTTATAAGGTGTTAAGTTGCCTTTATGCCTATTCAAACATATACATTTTGTGTGTGTTACTTATTCAGAATTAAATGTCTAAATTGCCATAAAAGAAAGGGTGGAATGATATAGAAATGATTATTTTAATGCTTTTATGTCAATCTATACCTATATTACACTTATTTAAACACACTTATACTCACTTTTGATGCAGCTTATCTGCTTATTCAGTCATTCTTGTGCTGCAGATGTGTTTTGGAGTAATCTGGGGGATGCTCTAACCAGAAGATTGGGCCCAATCTTAAGGTTACAGTGACCCAGGTTTTGAAGGATGAAGCCATCGCTCTGTTGCACAGACTGCTTTGAAGATGGGAAAACAGATTTAATTAAATCTGCCCTCCTGACAACCATCACTGCTCTCACGCGATCCGGTCAGGGAAGAAGGTATAAGAGGAAGTGTGACAGGCAACTTAATCTTTGGGGAGTCCTGTGTGGATCAGCCGCGCGCTGGTGCCATACGCCATTTTGATGTGATTCTTCTTTACCTGGGTCGAAAACGACTTCCCGGCCAGTGTCACGATGAGAAGTTATTTCATATCAATCTGTGTGTTAAGAGTGTACGAGTGTACATGTTTTTTGCTTGGCTGTTTTCTGTGGCAGGTTAATAAAGGACACTTATTACTCCTAGCAGTAACAGCCTCCTCTGTGTTTTATTTTTCCTTCTTGTCTGAATATCTGTGCCGACCGTTCACGAGCCCTTTTGATAAAGAATTTCATAATACACTGTTTTACAGTTAATAAAATTGATTAGTTCACTGTAATATCTAAAATGTTTGAACTAAAACACTTTGATTATCAAACATTTGTAAAACAGGAATGATAATAGAAAAGAGAGTGTTCTTTCACTTGAATTTTCAAGAAAGAAAGTCTCAGGATGGGTGAACCTGTATTTCTGGATTCAAATCAATGAAATGACAGTTTCTGTCCCACAAGGTTCTTAAGGTCAAGGATTTTGACCTTAGGCTTAGTTTTGACATCAGGTCAAGTTCACTACACTGTCAACGGGAAGCATCTGCCAAGAGGCTTTGATCTTTTGCTGTTCATCTTCAAATTCATCAAGAATTATGAAGCAGCCTCAAACCAAAAGAAAAGTTTCTGTCGTGTGGGACCATGTTGATCTCATCAGAAAATAAGCTATTTGTTTTAACTTCCTTGTTGTTTCATCCTGTTCTTAGAGTTTCCACTTGATCCATCTGAATTCAAATTCTGTTCAACGTCACTCTTAGTTCTATTTCGTATAAGTTTCGCCCTTTAAGGCTGTCGCTTGGTGGGTTTATCCCGTTATGCGTAGCATTTGCACTGAAAAATTTAGTCCACGCCCACCTGCTGTGTGGGCCCTACCCGGTCCGTATAAATTACGTTAAGAGCGGGAAATCGGCTCCCATTTTTTCTTCAGCGAGCTAATAGCACTGTCAGAAGAACAAAGAAGGAAAATTGTGTAGATGACCAACCTTTGTTAAGGATGCTTGACCCGGCAGTCGACCTCCGGTCGTCCGGTGAGTTCTCCTCCCCGAGGAGAAGCTGACGAGCAGTCTTATTTCAAGGTAAGCGTCGAGGAATATTTCCCAGTGACGGGTCACACTACACGCTGGACAACGCCATCTTGTAATTTTCCTCTTATCGCCGACCCTCGGAGCGAATCGGATGGTTCCTCCGGGACAGGCGCGCTCAGCTGCAGCCCCCGCTGCTCATTCTCATTCGGCTGACATGAAGGGACCCCTTTTTTCTACGTCCCACGCCTTTCCCGCCAGTTCGGATGATCCGGCGGGAAGGTTGTTTACTGGGTTCCATTCCGGCTCACCGTCTTGATCCATATGGCCTCGTGTTCCAACAGGACGTCCTACGGGCCAGGGCACAGACGGTTCTTTCCTGGTAGATTGGGGGAGCCGGTCTCCACAGTCCGCACCCATCACCAGAGTGGAGGGGTTCACCGAGCGGGGCTATCCCTTGGTAACCCCCCTTGAGCCAAGCCTCGCGGAAGCTTTCAGAGCGAAGCTGTCCAGGCTGGAGCAGCGTCCCGTCCCTCCTGGGAAACACGACCAGACGGTGACCACGCTCTCCAATCGAGCCCATCAATGTGCTTTTCAGGCAGCCGCAGCTAACAACAACGTGGCGCTGCTAGCATTTAGCATGTCCAAGAGGCTGGAGGCCGCAGACCTGCCTGAGGAGACTAAGAGCTCCCTCTGTAAGGCAGCCGACGCCATCCTCAATATGTGTGCCTCTTCTTCAGTTTGCCTGTCCAGGATTGCAGCGTGGATGACGATGATTCAACGATCCACCTAGCTCCGTCACTCCCCCTCGCTGCCGGAGAAGC